AGGGCGGGGGGTGATGTCAATCTGGTCAAAGGCTTACGAGCTTATCGCTGCTGATTTTGTGTTAGCATTAACTTTATGTGTATACATGTACTGTATATGACCTGTTGGGTAATGATGTATGTAATATGTATTATATCCAATCCAACTCCCCTAAAGAGCAAACAAGATACTTAAACAAGACTTAAAATTTCATGCAAAGTTAGAATCAAGTAGTGCATATGTAATTTTTAAGTTTCCGTTTCATAATTGCAGAACTGTGAAGTATTCCCATTTGAACAGGAAAGACAAATGTTTGGAGAGAAACCTCAATTCTGCATAGGATTTTCCTGCAGCGCTGGGAGAACAGAGATATGGATAAGCATGGAACAGTAGACAGCGTTCTGCTGTGATGAACTGGCATGTGGTCAGAGCGTCTCCACCCTTGCATATGTGGCGTCCTGCGTCTGCAATAAAAGAGTGATTGTGGAAGATCTCAAGATGGAGATGAAACAAAAATGCCCTGAAATGGTCATAGTATGGAGCAATAACTAAGAATAATATAAGATGCGTAAATGGGCTACATTCAGTAGGCTACCACCTACTAGGAGAATGAGGCTGGACTTAACCAGACTCCAAGATCAAGCTGTTTCTGATGAGTTTGCATGCAGTTTGTGTGAGGAACTTGCAGACTTGGGTGCGACTGCTGACTCTAATGTGATGTGGGAGACCTTCTGTGATAAGACCCTGAAGGTTGCTGAGGGCTGTGTTGGTGTTGACAGTGTTCGCAGAAGGAGGTGTTTCATCTTGCAGGGCTCCCTCGATATTATTGGGAGGAGTCACAGTGCACGACTTGGTGGCAACTCCAGTCTGTACCGGGAACTGAGAAGGAGGGCTCTGAGGGCAGATAAGGAGGCATTTGTTAAACAAATTTGTGAGCAGGTGACACACCATCTGTGGTCTAGTGATCCACATCCTACTTACAGAGGAATCAAAGCATTACGCACATCTGAGTCTGTTCCTCTGAGACTTGTAGTCAGGATGGGTGATGGGACGGTCCTTATGGATGACACTGCAATTGTGTCCCTCTGGGCCGGCTACTTTGAGCAGTTGTTTAAAGCTGACCCTCCAGCTAGGATGTTGGACATCTCTGGGACCACGGTTCTCATGGCTGATCCTCCGATCAGCTGTGAACCACCCGATCTCACTGAGATTGCACGGCTGCAAGGATATGTGATATCTGGGGTAAATTTCTCCAGGCTGGTGGTAAGCCTGTCCTCCTGGCATTGCAGGCAATCTTTGATTCCATTTGGGAGTCAGGCATCATCCTACCTGACTGGAAAACGGGACTTGTAGTCCCTATCTGGAAAGGAAAGGGTGATCGCCTGGATTGCGGCAACTACAAGGGGATAACACTGCTTTCAGTGCCGGGTAAGGTCCCTGCTAGGGTCATCCTTAACAGGATCCGCGATCACTTGCTCGTCTGTCAGCCACCAGAGCAGTCTGATTTTACGCCTAGGAGGTCTACCATCGATCGTATCCTTACACTGAGGGTTCTCATCGAGCACAAGCGCGAATATTGGCAGAGGTTCTTTGCAGCCTTTGTCGATTTTCGTAAAGCGTTTGACTCAGGTGATCGAGTTGCCGTGGGACACTCTGAGACTTTGCGGGATCCCCCCGAAGTCACTGGATGTCATGGCCGACCTGTACACTGGTACTGTGAGTGCTGTGTGTGCTTCCCAGGTGATTCTGGGGGTCGCCAGGGGTGTGTTCTTGCTCCTACTCTGTTCAATGCTTGTATGGACTGGGTGTTGGGCAGGGTTGTGGGTCCAGCGGCTGTGGGGCGTCCATTGGTGAAGAATGATTTACTGATCTTGACTTTGCCGAAGATGCCATGATGCAATGAAGGCTCTGATTGGGGCTCTCGAGAGACTGAGTGAGGAGTCTGAGTGTCTGGGATTGCGGGTGTCCTGGTTAAAGACCAAGATCCAGGCATTTAATGACTTCTTAGGCACAGCCATCAGTAGTGAGTCTGAATGCGGGGAGAATGGCGACCTTGTCAAGAGATTTACCTCGGCAGCGACATTCATGTCTCTGGTGACTATTCAGTTACGACACTACAGCCATGTGGCGCGTTTCCCTGATGGTGATCCAGCTCGTAGGATCCTCATTGCTGAGGAACCAAGTGGCTGGACCAGGCCAAAGGGACTCCCATGTAACACCTGGCTGCCGCAGATGGATGGCCATTTCCTAGACCTTGACCTTGTATCTGCCTGGGGGGTCGCCGGCCGGGATCCTGAGGAGTTTTGCTGTGTGGTGGGTGCAGCAATGCGCTGCATTAGGGCATGTTCACCAACCTGACCTGACTCGTGAATGGGCAGAACTAGATCATTTAATTGCTGTCCGATTTTAATAGGTAAGACGTCCAATGGTGAAGGATCAGTCTTGGTGGTTCCTGGCCGACTGAAGCAGCTTCTTCTTAGAATGAAGGGCTGACTCTGTTGATTGGCTGGCAGAGACACTATACAATTTTACGTGACCTCACAGGTCCTGTTCATCCCGCGTTTTTATGCTCTAGCTCCCTTTCCTACAGTCTTTCATCATTTCCGCACTGAACTCATAGGTGCGTGTAATGAAGATTCTGTTCACTGTGATCCCGCTCTTTTAATATCTAGGAATTTTATTATCATTTGGGTCTCTGCATAAGGTTTGATGGACACAGCATGCCATGTCCTTCCAGAACATTCCGTTTTCCGAACACATTGGGAGAATTGAGATGCTTATGACTCTGACACTGTTCGCAGGTCCCATAAATCATCACAAACATACTTCTAGAGCTTATGCCTAATCATAAAGTAATTCTGCCTACTTTCACTGTGTTATCATGGCTCAGAAACATATATATATATATAATATTTTTGGTGAGTGACACAGTAATAAATTTCACTGCATAATCAAAGCACTGGTGCAGAATTGCTTACTTTAATTCTGGTCAAACACAATCCCAATAGGAAGGTCAAAGTACAAAAACAGCATATGATCATTGCCGCTGATACACCGATGGTTTGCATGCCCACTGAATGTGAAGCAGTTGCCATCAAGATCTGCAACTGTGACATAATACCTCCAGAATCTGTTTGTATTTTTAACAAGCGGGTCACGCCTGACACAGCCTAGTTGTGTGTATTATGCAGTCACCTGCAAATCACCACTCTCCTGGAGAACAGCTGAAAAACACAGATGTATTACAAACAGCATTTGGCTGATAGAAACTTAAGCTGCAGGGACATTAATTTTTGCCCATATAAACAGAAGATTACACTGCATTGCTGACAAGTGACTGCTGGAGTAATTTACGTACATTAACTTAGAATTTATAATCACCTCCTTAGTGATTATGCTGGTCGTTTGTTCCAGCTGGCTAACAGTATATTTATGGTAGAATGTTCTATTCCAACAGCTGGAAACTGGACTGGTGACCGGAAAGGTGACTGGGGGCAGTGTTGCGTTGTTAATACCCCCTTTGGAGTCTGAACCGTCCTATCAGCCGGATCCTCCCAAATTTTGCCTGTCCTGTGGATGGTGCAGGCCTTCCTTAAATTCTGCGAGTTGATTGTTTTCTCCCTGTTGTTATGTAAAATAAAGTCACGGGCAAACAGCTGGGTGATTGATAAAGTATATCTCTGTATTTGTTTGCCTGAACATAAAACAACAAGCCCTGCAGCCTTCTACAGAGGGAATAGCGACAGGAAGCAAGCTGGCCCAGAAGCGTCGGTCTAATGGAAGAGAGATTCCTGGTGAATGAATAATACAGCATCTACTTAGATAAACAGATTTCTGAACAGGTCACTGAGTCGGTTTGGTCTGATAGGGAGGATTTAACAGCTGAGTTTGTAAATCATGTATATCTATGTAAAAATTAAACAAATATACTTCTGAATGGCTTGTTTCTTGAAATCTGAGGCATGTTAATCCCAACAAGCAACAGCAATGAAAGCTATAGATTTTACGGAGTGAAACAGCGTGCAGAATTATTAAAAATGCTACTGTCATCGTTTTCACTTTGTATATGTGTCAGCTTTAAGCTGGTGAGGCGGTACTAATCTGTCACTCCCTCCAGGACAGACAAAAGCGGAAAGACCAAAGTAAATAGGAGAGGAATCTTTCAATTGCAAATAAAAATGCTGAATGTTTAACTGGGTTCCTTCTACAAAATGCACCTCCTAACAGTCGTTCATGGTAAAGCAGACAGCAGAGGGACAAGGGGACGACTTCCTGGACTGATCGAGCCTGCGGCCGCATCCTCGGGGGGGTGGTGCTCAGCGGGACTCTCTGTGTGGAGACAGACGGGAGAGGACACTAGCGGCATGTTTACATGGGCAGGGGGGCAGTGAGGGGATCGGCCTCCTCACATGGACAGGGGGGCAGTGAGGGGATCGGCCTCCGCATATAGACAGGGGGGCAGTGAGGGGATCAGCCTCCTCACATGGACAGGGGGGCAGTGAGAGGATCGGCCTCCTCACATGGACAGGGGGGCAGTGAGGGGATCGGCCTCCGCACATGGACAGGGGGGCAGTGAGGGGATCGGCCTCCTCACATGGACAGGGGGGCAGTGAGGGGATCGGCCTCCTCACATGGGCAGCCGTTCCCCGTAAGGCCTGTTAACTCGTTAAAGAAGTTTAATTCAGAGGGAGTTCACGGTGAGTTAAAATCTCCCGCCATTCAAGGTTTTCATTAGCCTGTTTTGCAGGATGGAACATTGTTCTGTACTTGGTGAATCTTGTCTACAATAATCAGTGGCCTATTTCATTTAAATTTAAAATTTCCATGGCGGAATAATGTATTTGACATCAGGCACTGTGGGCTGTGAGTGGAATTTAAATCCGAAATCTTTAATCTGAAAAGTTCATAGCAACGACAGGTTGTTTGATATACAATGTGAGATATCTATATGAATTTAATTAAACGCATAAAAGTCTCACGCAAATATAATTGAGGATTTTGTGATGCGCAGAAAACGGCACCTTGGGGTCTCCATGGTGTCCTTGGTGAGGTAAACAAGCCAGTAGATGAGGTTGAACGCCCCGAATGACAGCGGGAAGAGCAGACGGGCGTACTTGTCGATGGTGCTGGTGCCCGTCATGTAGGTGCGTGCAGATGGGATGGCGGAGTCCTGCAGGAGGAAGGCTGGCAACCGCGTAGCCCCTAGCTGCTCCCCGCAAAACAGCAAGCTTTTCCTCCGCCTCGGGCTTTTGCTGTGGGGCGGTGCCTGTGGCGTGAGCAGAGGGGGTAGGGCCAGGGAGGGGCAGGAGGAGGGGCCGGGGGAGGAGCCAGGGGAGGGGCCAGGGGAGGGGCCGGGGGAGGAGCCAGGGGAGGGGCCAGGTCATTAGCATGTCTCTCTTAAGTTGCTCAGGGTAGCTCTGCCAGCAAACAGGGCACTTGATGCAAGGTGCCAGTGTGACTTAAAGCTGGTCTGCCTTTGTTCTGAGGCAGCCTCTCAGGTGGTCGCGGCAGGAGCGACCCCTACAGGCTGGCCGGGGAACTGCGGGCTGACCGGCAGTCAGTGGCGAGAGACGCTGAGCGGCATTCCCTGTGGATCGCAGTGTGAATGGAGCAGTCCACTTGGCAGAGCCTGTCTGAGAGGGCCCCCAGCCTATCTCTGAGGCAGGGCACTACCATGTGATACTGAGTGAAAGGGGGAGGAGAATCAAGAGGAGAGGAGTTGAGGCATTTGTGGACGGAGACCACGAGGGCGGGTTTAGATGACCAGAGCTAGTCAACAACAGGTTCAACAGACGTACAGCCATATACGATTCTGACAAATTAAGTAAGAGAATAAAAACAGCAACAGAAAGGTAAGGCAGGGTGAAGCAGTTAGCCTACCCGCCGGCCTGACATGTGAAAAGGGCTCCTTTGGCTTTAAGAGAGGCTTGGGAGCGCGCCCAGAGCGCCGTGGCAACAGCCAGCAGGGGGCGTTGCTTTTTGAATGCCTTCCATCACGGACCAGGTTGTGGCTTCAAATGTCAGCTGCTGATGGCGGCACGCGCCCGGTGGACGTGGGGGATTCTGCGGGGAGGCGCTGAGGCCCTTTCTGAAACGGTAGCGATGAGTGTACCGCGTGGGCCAGCTCCCAGAAGGCATGGCACGGTCTTCTGGGAGCAATAACGTACGCTCTACTGGTATCCAAACAAAACAGTGCACATGGACCTTACATGGTCCCAGAAGTAAATAAACAACAATCCGCTTTGCTTGTAAGAGATGCAGCACTGGGCTAAACCATGACCACACCCCTGGTCCCACAAAGTCCATGTGCTAAGTGTGTGATTATGCTCAGGACGGCCTCTGTGTGCCCTCGGGATCCATGTGTCTTTAGCCTTTATGATGTATCACAGCCTTTGTATGTAAGACAGAACTGGAAAGATTTAAGAACAACTGCTAGACCTTTCAGAGGATGGAAGTGAGATGAAACCGCCGATGTATTCCTGATGCCAACCTTTATTTGCGCTGCTCAAATGAAATGGAATCTGAGCAGTGCAGAAGAAGAACTTCTGCTCAAAGACCAGACTTGGGCCTTCGTGAGTTAAGTATGTGGCTGCATGGATGCGGCACCCCCGCTGTGTCGTCACGCCGGGTGGGTTAATTACCGGCCCATTCTCGCTGCCGCTCGCCACAGCTGTGGCTTCCAAAGCAGCCGCACGTGAAGCCCTCCGCAGCGCCTGGTTGGCTCTCATGGTGGAGAAGTAGTTGACGGCAGCAAATTCAATGAGGGCTAAAAAAACAAAGGCGAAGCAGACGGCAATGAACCAGTCCATGGCGGTGGCGTAGGACACCTTCGGCAGGGAGTGTCGGGCCCCAATGCTCAGCGTGGTCATGGTCAGCATAGCGGTGATGCCTGGGATATGCGGCACAGGAGGGACATTTAGAGAGAGACAGTGGACATTCAGAGAGAGACAGCGGACATTCAGAGAGAGACAGCGGACATTCAGAGACAGACAATGGACATTCAGAGAGAGACAGCGGACATTCAGAGAGAGACAGCGGACATTCAGAGACAGACAATGGACATTCAGAGAGAGACAGCGGACATTCAGAGAGAGACAGCGGACATTCAGAGACAGA